GGATAGTTGGACGGGCTTGACCCGGGACACATGAAACATGGGATGAACACGCATGGAGCCTGGGAATCTGAGTCTGACAGCCGCCGGGTTGATCACCTTGGAGATAGGGAAGGGGCCCACAAAATGAGGAGCCAGCTTACGGCAGTCTACCCTCAGCGGCAAGTCATGCGCCGCTGCAGCACACGCGCGTACACACCAACACCCGCACACACCTTTGCGAGTGGCAAACTCATTTTTACACCCCACGTATTTAGACAATTTTCTCACTCATTCTCCATTTAATTGATATTTTTCCTGCAACTAAAAATCATTTCTGATCCCACAGAGAGGACAATCTGAGGAGAATCTCACACGCTGGACACATTTACATCTATTTTACATATTTAAATGGAGGCGTGTCAGGGGAGGAGTCTCATGTGCGCTCAGTTCCACGTTCAGTGGGATGTATAAAGGAAAGGTGCGCAGGAACCTGCATGCACACGGTTTTATACACTGGAATTTTTTGGTGCTGCGCACTTTTCTAAATTTGTCCATTCGTCAACTTTTAGTGTGAAAGCTGCGCAATCCTTTATGCATGAGGCCCCAGGGGAGACGAGGGCAACAACAATCACAACAACTGAACACAYCTGAGACAGACAGAAAAGAAACTCAAACAGAAACCCCACAAAAATCCCAAACCAAAACAGAACCCAAAAAACCCCACTGTGACAAACCAGTTTATGATGTATTTTATATTTCCCTATAATTCTAATTCTAAACTGATTTTCCAAACATGCATAAGTTTATAGCCTAAATATTAAATGTTATTTAATATTTTAATGTTTGTTTTCAGTTAAGTCAAGAAATAACCGTGGAAAAGACACCAGGCACAGTGAAAGTGAAGAGCAGTTTTAAACACACTGTGATGTTTCTGAGGAAACTGGGAGTTCCTGCAAACAACAKCATCCAGGTTTGATGATTCAGATCTTTGAATTGATTTGATTTGCTCAAAGTGTTCCTTAAGGCCCTGTCACACTATGATGTTTTTGACAACTTATGCCAACTTATGAAAATTTTAAAGACATCTACTGTACGTTGAAGATGGAATTGACAAAATCAACTGGAAAAAGCNAGATAATATTCTTCTGTTTTTATCTGATTTAGAAGGAAAGTGGCCTGGGGTGGCCTAAATACAGTTCTAAGTGGAACAGAGTTTTTGTCCATTCGAAGGCCCATCAGAGGACTGAGAGTCCAAGACAGTTCCTTGATAACTTGACTCGAGGTGACCCCTACACAATCTTTTATAAATCTGACCCCAGGACTTAAATACACGGAGGACTAACAAGTGTAGGGGTTTTGGATATATTCTAAAATAGATAATTTGTGAATTATTTAAATACGCAAATTATCTTACCTCGAGGCACCACGTTCTTAATTTGGTCAAAAATTAACCCAGGAAAGAGACAAAAACCTGTAACTTTATTGTAATCAGTCTCACAATAAATGTACCCAAAATTGTTTGAGTCCTTGTCTTATCAGAACCAATAATACCTTATCAAGACACAAAAATGACATTAACTTATGTTGGCACGTTCTCCACGGGCCATTTATTTACAGATTAAATGTATTTACAACTATTGAGTAAGAAGTGATGACATGTTGAACCATGTAAAAACTGACAGAGTTTGCAATCACAAGTGAATAAACAAACAAACAAATAAAATAAACCCTGAGAGGTGAGTTTGAGGTTTGGAGTGAGGTGAGGTGAGTTTTGCTTTTAGCTGAGGATTTGACTAAGGGGGTCCTAGTTAAATTAGGGAGAAAAATCGTTTGGTTTACCAAATCTCATACAAAGATAAGAATCAAATTACGTCTGAGCACCTGTTTGTCACCAGGACAATTGTTCACTTTTACCCTTTTGTTTTGCTGATTGCGGTACCAGAAGTAGTCGTCGGCAAGGATCTCAGGTGATTTTGCCCAAAGAACTGCTTCAGTATAGTGGCTGGTCGGACACTCAGGGTGTCTGTTCAGCTGCTGACCCTTCAGTCAGAAAGGTGGGTGGTGAGCTGGTGACAAGGGGGTCCGTTCCTCCCAGGCGGCTGCAAGACTTCTTAATTTGATTTCAACTTTGTAGAGAAAAACGAACTAAAAACGACGCATGAATTACAATTAGCTTATTTAACTGCTATAAAATCAAACTCAAGGTGTTGAGTCGATATTAAACGTTGGCTGTTCGTTCAACCAGTGGGAGATGCAGAAGGACCACCATCCTGCCCAGCCCATGGGGAGGGGCTGGCAGGCAGGTCCTCTGCTGAGCTTCTGGAAAGCTGTTTCTGGCTTCTGATGTTGAAAAAATGAATCTGGATAGTTGGACGGGCTTGACCCGGGACACATGAAACATGGGATGAACACGCATGGAGCCTGGGAATCTGAGTCTGACAGCCGCCGGGTTGATCACCTTGGAGAAAGGGAAGGGGCCCACGAAATGAGGAGCCAGCTTACGGCAGTCTACCCGCCGCTGCAGCACACGCGCGTACACACCAACACCCGCACACACACACCTTTGCGAGTGGCAAACTCATTTTTACACCCCACTTATT